GAAAATATATAACTCAGAAAAATCACTTGCTCGGGCCAGGAAAACAATAATATGGATTCTAAAAAAAAAACTACCAAAATCGACTACGAAATACTAATTATTTACTAAATAAACGAACGTGTATGGAAACTTTAACATATAGCAAGAAATACATAGCTTACAATAGTAAATTTAAATTGATCATTAAAATGATTAACTCTACTACGTACGATACACACAAATAAGTTTTACACAGCTGTCGCGGCACGTGTATTATTCACCTGTTCGCTGTTTTTTATATAGAATTGTTTAAATGGCTATTATTATTTTCGCTATGCACCTTACAGTCTCGTATGTTTTGAATAAACAATCCATAAGTTGTGAAGTTTAACTCTTACTACGAGTTATCGTTACCGCAATACCGTCAGTTTAAAGTCTATAAATTGATTATCTCGAAAATATATATTACCTCAGATGTTATATGAGAAACGTTGAACTACAAGTATTTCTGAAAACGTCAAGAAACGCTAAATCTTTTTTTTTTTGGAAATTTATATTAGCTATATAATTTGAATATAAACTTCATATTTATGTGTTATACTTATGAGGAAATATAATCTTTTTTTTTGCCAAAAACGTTCACTTAAAGACTGAAAATAAATTGAGTAGTCATTTTTTTTTACTTAAGATGGTATAACAAGTGGTATTTATTTTCATTAGTTTATATATTACATAATTAAAAAAAATGTATTTTTTATTTCCAGAGATAAAAAAAAAACAACTTTAAGTTATTCTCTATTCCTCTGTTCATTTAAATTTGCCGAATATAATGTTAATATGATTGATATAATGATTATGGATTTAAATAAAGAAGCCAAGCCTTTGAGACCTATAGCAATAAGATTAAATTTTTAATGTATTTGCAAGAAAAAATCTAGAACACAGAAGTAGACAGGGTATGTAATATAATTGATTATTATCAAAATGACTCAGACGAACATTATGTAAATGAGTTAAAATCTTGCTTTAATCTACGACATAGTGTTATACTTCGTGCAGGGACATATTTTGTCTAATATATGAAAAGAAACTTGTTAATGTTTTTCCAAATTGCCATACCATCCTAAAGAATTTTTTAACGATGCCCATAACTCGCTGTGAAATGGAGCGCTCTTTTTCTAGGATGTCATATATAGAAAACAAATACAGGACACAATGTCGAACTATCTACTAAATCTTTTATCAATTCTTTCGATTAATTGTGATTTTAACAAAGGACTTACGGTGCGATGACCAAATAAAAGAATTTGCAGCACAAGAATGCAGAAAGGTTGCTTTTTAATTGAAATAACATAACCTTATATAACCTTATAATTTATGTTGCAATTAATAATGTTTTAATAAAAAAATATATATTTTTTATTTTCCTATGTTCTTCCCGTACTTATCATATATATTACATATACCTAGATCACTACAGAAAATAGTTTCTTGTCAAAATGGCAATTAAGTAATTAGGTAGGGCCCCTAAGCAGTATTAGCCCAGGGCCCCAGAAATCCAAGATCCACCCCTGGTCTCCAAACCGTTGATTTGTACGTATTTGAAAGCACAATATGGTTAATAGTAAAATAAAAATAGTTAAGCATTCAGGTGAAGAAATGAGTGGACAAAAGGTAGTATTCAAATATATTTTTTATACCTCTTTTAATAATGCGCCCAACAAAACGAACCACTTTAAGCTCATCGTAAGTTATGCACTTAACGGATTGTCAAGAATAATTCAGGAGTTAAATTATTTCAATATTTTTTCTTTTATTTAAAAATGTCTTTGTATATTTGTTAATATTATTTCTTTCAAAATAATATTTGTTGTTTATTCATACATAATTATGAATATATTTGTATTAAAAATAAACTTACAATAAAAAATCCTTTTCTCAGAATTCACACAGAGTGAATTACGGTTCACAAAAACAGTCCTAATTCCCAACAGTTCACACCTCCATTTTTCTTCACGCTTATTGTTTGAAACGTAGCACTCTTAATCATAAAAATTTAATAACTAAGTCACTATTTTCAAAATCTAAGTCAGTATAATTCGGGCAACATAGTTTAAAGTTTTATTATAATAAAATTAAACACAAAAATTATATCGCGTCTGACGGTTATTTAAAAAGTATTTTCCCGCTTAAATGCCGCTCACTAGCGCTAGGCAAAGACATCGCTACGTCCAGCCGCCAGTGAAGCCGGTTTAACGCTGTTGATATGTTTTATTTTAAGCCCCGCGCACGCACCCGCGTTCAACAAGCCTCTGCTTGAGGCGTGATAAAAAAATAAATAAAAGAAAGTCTCTTCAAGCATTTCATGTCGTATCAACGATCAGATTGTATTAATAATTTAGAATTTAAAATACATTCATTGTTATGAAATACAAAGTTGAAACTACGCAGTCTTATATATTGATTAGTTAAGGATTTTAATATAATATGCCTATCATTGAAAACGTAAAGCATTTTTTATATAATAATCGAATTTATATTTTAGTTAAATCATACATAAGATACCTTCATTTATAATCTCACAGAGTACTAAAATTAATGAAAGTTTATAAATCCTCTTTGAAAAAAGAAAGCGGAGATCATAAGAATTTTCGAAATACCAAAAAAAAGCAAAAAGGTTTTATGGGAGGTAGTGACTGATTAAGTCTTGTTTTTGTGTTATTTTTTATTCACCAAGAAATTAACTACAACCCATGATATATAGGATCGTTTTACTTAAAGAGAAGTTTTTAACAAAGTTACTTAAATTCTAAATCGAATATATTATCCACATATTATTTCTTAGTGATGGTGCGTATGTACCTAATAGCCGTTTTCGATAAATAGACTATATCACACTAGAAAATTTTTAAAAACGTCAATAGCAAATGAGCATACCCAGCATAATCGTTCAAAAAAATAAACTTTTCAGCTTTTTCATAAAACTGAATTCTATGTTTATCTGTGTCAACTAGCTATGTATTTACGAGTTAAACTAGAATACTTTTAGTTTAAAATTTAAATGTAAAAATAAAAAAAATAATTTTGTATGGGGTTATTCCATTGTTAAGCTGTTTTTTGTAGCTTATAATAGAATGTTTTAATAGTTTAGTGGTGCGCTTCACCGTGAAACCACTTTTTTTTCTTTTTCATATCTTAGATACTTGGGTCTTATTTAAAAATTAATGTAATCTTTTATATAAAGTTATTGAAGTTTAAGGCAACAACAAATTTTAGAAGCTGGTAGAGCTATGTGAATATTCTAAATTTATACCGCCAATCAGCATAACAAGCCTTGACATTTTTTTATTCGTTATTTTTCAGACATTATGGTTTTAACATAAGTTAATAAATGAGACACTAAACAATGTTTACCATAGTGGTAAACATTGGTCGTTTATTTTCTTGCACTAATCTCTAAATAAAATATTATTTTAAATTCCTATAACGTTACGCCTGCTAAAAATATAGTTATAGCTTTATTATTGACACTACAGTTTTTTTTGTTTGTAAACATTATACACGAATAATTAATATATTAGAAATAAATCTTAAAGTTTTATGGAGGCTTTATGGTCATTTATGCGTATTTTCATTCTCTACGTATCACGAATTGGCAAAACAGGGCCATATTAGTAAATTAGTCTAAACTATGTAAACAGTAAAGCCAATAAAGAAAATAGATGGGCCTTACAATTTTGTTGTTAATGTCTGTTTGTCTGTCTCAACGTAGCTCACAAATGAATCGTCGGATTTCAATGCGGTTCCTTGATTCTTCCATTTCGAAGTCAGTTAATCCTTGCCATTGTTTTTATGTTTCTTTCCTTAGTATCCGTCCAGCAGTACCTAAAGAGTATCAGCTCTCTTAAATAAAATATGTAGGTAAAGCATTTTTGGCGTATTATTCGATAAAGTAAGTGTTTCATTCGTGCCGTTATAATCGTTTATTCAAGTTTGCCAAACGTAGTTACGAGTGGATAAATAAAAAATAACTGAAAATATTTTTTTATACGTTTAATTAGTAGTTAATTTTGTTATTCAAATTTTTTTTTTTTTTTTTGTATATTAAAGGCGATTGTATTGGTTAGCCAGCAGATTACTATATCACTTTACGGATTAGTAGGTATACACTTTTTAATTTTCAGCTAGCGAAAATAAATCGGAAAGAGAGAGTCAGTCAACATTCTTCCAACGGTCGAGATATTTTTAAAAATAAACTACAAAAAATTAATGTTTAAAAAATCAATTGAATTTATTTATTAATTTATTAATAAATAAATTTAATTGATTTTTAATAAATAAATTTAATTGATAAATTTATTAATCACTTTTTTCAAGAATTTGTTGGCACCATTTTATCTCAGCATATAACTTCTAAAAATTTAAAGCAGTTAATTCAATGATTTGCGTTCATTTTCTACACATGACTTCAAGGTTTAGTTTTCTCTCCATTGACTTCATAGAATAAGTACACTTAGTGCAAATTTTTATTTAAGTTAAAACAATTTTATTTATATTGATTTTGATATTCGACTATTGATAAATATACAAAAATATTTCTCCAGTTTCTTACTAACACACCTGACTATCATTTCATCTCATGGTACATGATTAGCAGCGCATCTACAACATCTCTTATGTAGCAGATGTCCTTGGGAGACAATAACTACTTATGTATCATCATGTAAACCCTTTTCGGACAAAAACTGTAAGATGCCGTAAGAGATAAACGGATTATCCCAGTAATATTTTATCCTCTATTACTTTATAGTCACCCAAATTGTAAGGGTGATAAACACAAATGATCCATCTTATGATAGGATCTTTATCATTGACAAGTATTGATTCTAGATGTTAATCTAAGACTAAACTAAATATAGAAAGCTCTATCAGTCACTTTTCTTAAAATAAAACTTCAGTTTTAACTTATATATTAAACAACACTATTTACAGATCACATTTAAAAAACTAAAATAAATAAGTTACTTTTTCACTTCATTTTCCATTTTCTCAATATCTTCCAAGCAGATTTCTTCTGAAAACTCATCATTAGTCTGAGGTTTTATTTGTCCTCTCTTTAAGAATGGCTCATGCAGAGCCTTGTGTAGTTTTTTAGCCTTAGTAACCCCAAAACCGGGACAATCAGCTAATCTCTGTTCCGTTGCTTTAATGATGTTCTCTAATGTTCCAAATTTTGTTATTAGGGTCATAGCATCAGTTTTATTTACAGGCTTTATTGATGATAGGGCATTTATTATCTGTGAAAATAATATAAAATTGTATATAATTAGTTTTGTTAATTAACAGCTGATAAATTTGTGATTCTTTTTTTTTAAATATTACTTCAATTCATTTCAATATACTGTTTATTTTATGACCTATTTACATGCAAAATAAATTTTTATACTGTAAATCTTTAAATTTAATATGTACGTACTTCATTTTATCATCAAACTATTATTCAAGAATAACTAATTCTATTATGCTAATAAATAAAGCCATATTAAACATTATGTCATACTGATAATTCAAAGATGTTGCATTATATTGTGAAATATATTTAATAACCTTTTGATGTGGATCATTTTCAATTTTCTCCATTATTCTATCTGGTGGTTTATTTTCATATATCTTATAATTTTCTATTATTTTAGCTGATTCTTCTGGACTCCATGCTAACATTAATGTCATATCTGTCAGAAGGCATATTCTTGTTAGATTCTTCAAAGCAACATGTGGATCTTTTAGATCAACCTGAAAATATAAAATAATAATTATAATAAATTTCATTTAAAACAATGTTACTTATATAAGAAATAATTATAACCTGAACTAAAAGAACTCTCAGGTCATACTTCTTGCCTAATTCTTTAAGTCTATTGTTTATATAGTCAGGATTCAAATTATGATACCGCACAGAAAGAAACAGAATACCGATAGTCTTGCCTATTTCATAATCTGGAACTATTTCATCATATTCCCATGGAACGCTTGTAATGAATTTCAACAAAGGATTTCCGCGCTGAAACAAAACATGGTATGTTTAAAAGCAATTTAAAAAATAATATGTATGTATATACCATAAATTAATATTTACTTGCTTTTGATTCACTAGAACGCAGTGTGTTTTAGTTGCTGTTGGTTTCGGTGCTGGTGAGATAATAGTATAAATAATTATTGTTCTACAAGTAAGATTAATATTTGTGCAAGATCTTATGTACCTGTTCCAGCTACGACGTCCTCGCCACTTTTAGGTTTTTTTGGTGATGTTGGAACTTCTACTTCAGCAAGAAGGTCATCAAAACCGTCTTCTATTTCCATAATTACATAAATTTCTGAATAAATTACAATTATAATATAAAACCAAAATCTAGGAACTTTGTTTCATGTCTTAACCGTAAACCGTTTAATGTTTATATTTGATACTCTCTGTCAAAATTTAAACTGTAGGACCTTATATCTGGAAATTACTTTAAAGGAACCAACTTTTTATTAAATGTATATTTTAAACATATATTATATATAAATTCTCTATTGAATTAAATATCATATTTTTTACTATAGAAAATAACATATAATTAGTTTAATATAATTTGTAATTATTTATATCAAAATAATAATTATTTTCATAAAAAATAAAAGGAAGTTATAGTTTTTGTAAAATTAAGTGTACTAAATTAAGTATCTACTCATAAAAGTAAAAGTACTACCCTTTATCTTTCGTTTATCTTTCGCAGCTCATTCTGCCCCCCGGGACTGTCAAAGTCATTTCTTCTAATGTCAGAATGTCAGTTGTAACAATAAGACATAAATACACTTATAAAGTTTTGTAAATAATCCCCTAAATAAAAAGTTTTGGAATAGGCGGAAAGTTTCTGCGTGTTGTATGATGCCTAATGTATTGCAGAAATTATTTTGTAGTGTACAGAGGAACAGTTTTAATGCACAGTATTAATAATTTATATATAAATAAGTTATGAAAGAGCCATGGATCATGGACCCGCCAAACAGCCAAATGATCTCAAAAACACTATCAATATGGATGAGGACTTATTCGACGATTCTATCTTGGAAATTTTTGAAGATTCTGATTTTGAAGAAACAGCAGAACAAACGAAACATGAAAAAAATAATACCTTAAATAAAAATTTACTTAATGTTAGGTGGGCTATAACTGTAATAATAAACTAATAAACATTAAAAATATATCTCTGACACAAAAATATTAACTCCTATATGATACTTTTAGTGCACTGTGTTGTGATGAAGAACTCAATGGATATGATAAATTGTCAGGAAAGACATGGATCTATCCAACAAACTACCCCATCAGAGATTATCAATTCAATATTATAAAGGCAGCTATGGTTGAAAATTGTCTGGTATGTATTAATCAAAGTAATGTATGATGAATCAAAACATGTGACAATAATCAGATAGAAGTTAATAACATAACAGTATACATAACAAACTCTCCAAATATATTAGTAATACTGCATCTAACAGTACTTGTATTTGCTGCACTGATATATGTGTGAGTGTGTATGTGTGTGTGTGTGTGTGTGTGCATGTAATGAGTACATATTCTGTCATGCAGGTAAGTCTGCCCACTGGATTGGGGAAGACATTTATAGCAGCTGTGATTATGTATAATTTTTACCGATGGTATCCATTAGGTAAGATTATATTCATGGCGCCCACAAAACCCTTAGTGGCCCAACAGATTGAAGCCTGCTACAATATTGTTGCTATGCCTCCTAAAGATACCATTGAAATGACAGGCAAGTGATATGAAAGACTATGATTTATTTATATATATATATAATATTTTCTGTCTTTTCATCTATTTACTAATAATTTTAGGTCATATGCAAGTCAATACTAGGAAAAGTCATTGGGAAACGAAAAGAGTATTTTTTGCTACTCCTCAAGTTATCTACAATGATATCAAGTCTGGAACATGTCCTGGAGATAAAATAAGGTGTCTCGTGATAGATGAAGCTCACAAAGCGAAGGGGAATTATGCATACAGTAGTATCATCAAAACTTTAACCGAAATGGGTTACTTTATATATAGAGTGCTGGCACTTTCAGCAACACCTGGTAATAAGGTTGAAGATGTTATACATGTAAGTCCATGAACATATATATTTTATATTACAGATATATCATGACTTTCTTTGTTAATATAATAAAATTTCTTTTGTCCCATCATCATTTTACATAACATATGTACTTGATTCAGTATAATATGGAATTAACACATTGTGTTAAATTATCAATAGGGTTTTATTTAAGCCACTGTTCAAAAAGTTCAAAGCCCAACTACTTAGCCACAAAATCATCCATTAAAATGGCAAATTGAAGTAATGTATAAATGTAGTGATGAAACAGTAATAATATTCTTATAATATATATTACAGATAGTTAAACATCTACATATATCTCGTCTAGAACTAAGAACAGAGAACTGTTTGGATGTGAAGGCTTACAGTCATGTGAGGAACATTAACACAGTAGTTGTTGAACTCGGACATGAATTAACGAAGCTTAGGGAACAATATGTGGAGGTTTGGTTTATTTTATTACTAGCTTGTGTCTGTGACTTCGTTTGTATATCCTTTGGATTAAATTAAATCAAGTGTTTATCACAACACATCATACAAAATTTAGTTTTGTTCCATCAAAATCTTGATCAAAGTCGCAATAAATTATAGAATATGTTTATCTATTGTTTATGCTATATTAATGAAAATTTCGTTGATTCTATTGTAGTTATTTTTAATTCTATGAATATATGGAACATAAGGCTTATAGAAATTATTTCAAATCCAAATAACTGGCAGATTCTTTTTATAGTTTTTTAATACATTTAAGGTATTATTTACTGTTGTCTTGATCGATATATAATAATTCAAATGTTTTTATTATTAGATCCTAGACGGATATACAAGGAAGTTAACGAAATTCAATATAATACAGAACCTGGGTAATCTATCTAAAGGTCGGATTGTTATGTTGTACAAGGAGTTTCAAAATAGGGAACGTGCTGCGAGGTAAGCTGCAACTTATTATTATCATCACATTATTATATACAATTATGTTGTACTAACATTAATTGATAAATTTTCCTATAATTAATATAAAAGATGAGATAGTGCGTCAATCTGTTCCAACGTATATATACCTACTAATATTATAAATACGAAAGTAACTGTCTGTCTGTTACGCTTTCACCTAATCACTGAACTGATTTTAATGAAATTTGGTACAGAGATATAGTTGACCTTGAGAAAGAATATAGGATAATTTTTATCTCAGACTTTTGAAAGGTTCTCTTGGAAACGCGATATAACCGAACTCCACGCGGGCTAAGCTGCGGACGGAGAGCTAGTAATAAATACAAACAAATCGACATTAATTGTAGTGGAAATATTAATTTAAATTACTATTAATTTATATATTCCAGACACCCACAGCATAGCTATATAATGCGAACATTCACACTTCTAATAACTCTATACCATGGGTTAGAGCTATTAGTGAAGCACGGCTCGAGAGTGTTCTTAAACTTCTTCGACGAACATCCAGAGAAGACTTGGGTACACGAAGATAATGAACTGACGAGTTTCTTTGATAAACTCAGAGATAAACTAGGAGTTAATCCACTTGACCTTGATAAAAGTGTTCTGCCTGACGGAACAGTTCCAGAGGTTCGATATATGAATAGTTATTATTTAAAAAAATGTTTATTATTATAAAATATTTAATAAAAAAAATCATTGGCACGAACATGATGTGGACTTTGTGTTCTAAATTTAAATTTTAATTTAAATGTTACCTCGATATTGGATTTATATCATGGACCTATTGCATGAAAAGTTTTTAAGTTACAGAAAACGTTAAAATAAAACTAATTTTATTTCCCAATTGAAATGTCCTATCCAAGCACTCTCTGCTTAATATTATCTTGGCCACTAATAACATGAACTATAAAGTAATAAATAAAGAAAGTTTCCATTCGTTCATCCATAAATCTTTGCATGAAATAAGACGTAATTTATAAATTTATACTGCCTGTGTTTAGTTTCATAATCAAACTTGTGGTAAGGTTAATTTAACATGAATATTATTTGTACCAATTATTATAAGCATTTTGTATTTCAGGTGCCATCTAACTTAAATTTCGGTCATCCAAAATTTGATAAGCTTAAAGAGATCATAATGAGACATTTTGATACAGCCAAGAATAAGGGTCAAGTCACAAAAGCGATCGGTAATGTATAGTATTTGTTTGAAATAGTTACTATATATTTACGAATTTTCCTTAATATTATAGAAGAATTGTTTTAGTATAAAATTAGACAATTATCAAAAACAAATTGTGCTTTTTAATGTATAAATCTTATATCCTTACTAATATTATAAATGCGAAAGTAACTCTGTCTGTCTGTTAGGCTTTCACGCCTAAACCACTGAACTGATTTTAATGAAATTTAGTACAGCGATAGAATTGACCTTGGGAAAGAACATAGGATAGTTTTTATCCCAGACTTTTGAAAAGATCTCTTGGAAACGCGATATAACCGTACTCGATGCGGGCGAAGCCGCGGACGGAAAGCTAGTTAAAAATTGTTTGTCCAATATAACATATATTACAAAAAACACATTTTGTGTTACTTGAAAACATTTAATCCTCAAATTACATATAAACTTAATTCTTACATAATATGTTATACATGAAAAATATATTTAAATAAACTATAAAGAAATATTGTTACTTTTTTTTTAGAAATAATAATAAGAAAACTTTTTATTCTTATATATTTTCAGTGTTCTGTGAGTATAGAGAGAGTGTGAACTTGGTTTACTGCCTGCTTCTTCAGTGTCGACCGACTATAGTGCCGGAGATGTTTGTAGGACACGGCGCCTCTGGTAACTTAAAAAGGATTTAATATTAACAAAACAAAACATACAATCTCAGTATTATATATAATAATACAAAAAATATATATTCCATTAAGAAAACACATACATTCATGTGAGACTGTCACAGATATTCCTCTAAAATTATATTTAATACGAATTACTCTATATACTTATATATGATTCTTTTATGTAACTACTTTTTGTTTTGTCCAAATCATTTTATAATTATAATGAGTAGATTACGTAGACATTACATTTCCAACTACCATAAGTATACATAGCCCAAATATCAGTCGTTACGCCATATACGGAACGTTAAAAGTTTCTTATTTATACATTTTCATATTAGTATATGTTTATGAATTAGAAACAGGAAACGGTTCATATGTAGTGATATACAAATCTGTGTTAATGATTGTAATCAAACGATATTAAATCATTACTAAGTTATAAAGGAATTGAACCTGCCATCCTAGAACATTTTGAATCTTTCTTAGCAACACCTCTACAGTCACTACTGGCATATCTTTTTATATCTACCCTCCATACACTTATTAACTTGATATTTCAAATTTCTCCTAAAAACATTATCATAATACATATATGTATGTAATATGTTTAATTTTTCAGGTAAAGACGGTAAAACAGTAATATCTCAGAAGCAACAGTTGCGTGTGATGCGTAACTTCAGGTCGGGTGTTTGTAACACGCTCGTGTGTACGTGTGTGGCCGAAGAAGGGTTGGACGTGGGTTCAGTGGACCTCATACTGTGCTTCGACGTGTCCACGAGGTCGCCGATACGACTGGTGCAAAGGTCAATAAATACATATCCCTACTAATATTATAAATGCGAAAGTAACTCTGTCTGTCTGTTTGTTACGCTTTCACGCCTAAACCACTGAACTGGTTTTAATTAAATTTGGTACAGACAGAGTTGACCTTGACCTTGAAGCTGCGGCAGTTGATCACGGCAGGTGATCACGGCAGACATCTCGTCTGCCCGTTAGAAATAATAAATTACGCGTAGTAATCCGAAAATATTAATATCATTTAAATAAATATTTGTGAAAGTTCTTATTATTTTCAATTTGATGAATTTTCAATGAAAATTTGTTTTTTTTTTCAAACATTCTACCCCAAATCTCTGTGCACGCCCCTGAAAGGAGCAATCTATTTCTTTTCTTATAAGAAAGGTATAAGAAAAGAAATCCATTGCTACGTATATATTATTATTGTTAAGTAATATTTTTTTCGTACAGGTGTGGTCGGACGGGTCGAGAACGAAGCGGTCAAGTGTTCATTCTGGTCACTGAAGGCAGAGAACATAGTGTATGATAGCTTTTATATATAAAATTTATTCTATAAACAATTATATGTAAATTACGCTTAAGTTTTAACAAAATATTCTCTTTTACTGCATACTGAATTTATATTGTATGTTATTTCTTAGACTCTATTAGATTGTATACGACAAAACGATGGCTTGAACCAGAAGATACTGATGTCCGAGGAAGTTAAGAAAAGTTTGTATAAATCCAATCCGCGCATGATACCGACAGGTTTCATGCCGGAGTGTCAGAAAATGTTTATAACTGTCGCTAAAAAGGAACCCAAAGATAAACCTAAAGATATTAAAGAAAAGTCAAAAGGAATTAAAGAAAAAGCAAAGGACAAACTCTTGAAGGTGAGAATTTTTATCAAGTATTTGATGTGAAAGAAAATATTATAGCAAAATGTTTCTAATAATGATAATTTTAAGGGTCAAAAAGATTTAAGGAGCATGTTAATGAATAAAGGTACGACTTCGAAAACACAACGAGACGATACAAGTGAATGTAGAGAAATGATTTCTAAACAAGAATTTGATGTGTTGTTCCCTGAAGGATACGAAGATAGCAATGTGTTTAAACAACCCAACGACTGTTGGGCATTGAACGGTAAATGATAAAAAGATACATTTAAAAGAATAATATAAAAACAAAAGTTTGATAACTACATAAAAATATTTGCTATCGAATATAATTAATGTTAAAACAAAGAATCTAACAAACAAAAATATAATTTTTAAGTGTTAAAAGTTTTTATCACAACCAACTTATTTCTGTTAATCATTTTCAGAGTTTTTGAAAGACAATAATAATATCGAAGCAAAAGTAAAGCCGTCGCCACAGTGGGAACCACAGAAAGTATTACAAAATACTTTCAAAGTGAAAAATTCGTCAGATACTAAAATGTTAATAGAATTATTTCAACAAACTAAAAACACACCAATAACAAAGTCACCGGTCAAAAAAGACGGTGACATTCGTGTTCTATTCAGTAAATGTACGAAATCTATAAAGAATTACACGAAATCTGTCAACGAGTTGGGTATTAATAGTAATTCAAATATATCAAATGACATCCTAAACTTATTAGTCGATCTGAGTCTAGAGAACAAAAACATAGAAAAACGTTGTTACGTATGCAGTATTATTTGTAAATGTTCAGGATTTATAAAGAAAGCAGATCACGGATTCAACGATTTGTATTTCCATGAACCACCCGTTTTGCCGGATATAGAATTGATTGATTATTTAACAAAAGAATCTATAAAAAATGTATGTGAAGAAATAAATACTAGAAATATTAGTAGCAACGAATATGATGATGAGACAAACATTACTAATGTTGATGAATACGTAATGAAAAGTACAGATTTTAATGTATCAGTTGGAAACATGAAGGAAAGTAACGTGGAATCAGATGTAAAGCAAATTGAAATTGTAAGCCATAATGTAAATTATAGTGACGATGATTTATTTGAAGGAAGTGATTTATTTGATGAAATCGATTTCCCTACGGGGTTATGTGATGAACTACCTAAAGACAGTGAGCTTACAGATAAAAGTATGACTGAGATATGCTCACGTGATACTTCTAAAAACAGTACAGATATATCCGATAAACATTTAAATGAACCGTTCAGTCAAATAAACACTGAAATAAAATCTCATACAGATATGTATAGAGTGGAAACAAATAAAAATGAAATTAAAAATAACAGTATGATAATAAATTATGTAAATGATGTCGGAAATAAAAATACAAAAGACCACAATATTATAGAGGTAGAAGACGTTTTTGATGATTTCGACGAATTTTACAACACTACGACTAATTTAACACCACCATTAACATATAAACATGAAAACGAATTAGAAAAATCACCTATTCTGAGTACAGTTAAAACTAGTAAAATAGAAAGAGGTGATAGAACAGTTAATAGGTATGATAAATGTGATCAACAAGACATGTTAGAAGTAAACGATATATTTGATGATTTAAATACATCAGAACTTATATCAGCTAGAACAAAATCTACAAACAATAACAATAAATACTCTAAGTTAGCGATACGAGATACAAATGAAGATTTTGAATGTATAATAATTAATAATGAAGATATAACTGACATTAACACTAAGAACTGTTTGAGTAACGAAAGTGACGCTCATGGATATATAGACACGTCAAATGATACAATTACAGAGACATCAACAGCTTTCAATAAAACCAATATAAACGATGTCCTAAAATATTTTCACCTCGATAAAATTTCTGATATATTCCAAAACAACAATAACGGCATTCAAGAAACTAATTGGAAAAGAAAAAATAATAAATTATCGAACGATTTACTTGATGTTACTGAAATTTATAACAAAAGTAACGATATAATAGAAATAAAGGATGATGGGAGTTATGAATTGTTCAATGATACAATATTAGAAGGTAGCCGGAGTCCGTCCTTGTTGTCTGGTAGAAGTCAAACTATTGTCTCATCAAGATCGTCTTCACCTATACTAAACACGCAAAGACCCAAAAAAAATAACTCAAACAAACAAACTTCTCCAATATTAAGTAGTCAACGACGTAAAATGTCCTTAAACATCAACAGGAGTGATAAAAAACTTAATAGTCCTATATCGATTGGACAGACGAGTTTAATACAAAAAGTTAACAGCAAATCACAAGTCGAACCTGATCATAGAAAAACAGTCAAATTAGAGACAAATAATAATAAGAACGACTTATCCGATATTATAATATTAGACAGCGATGACGATTGTGAAGATGATAAACATGTGAAACATAATACAACTAAACGTAAACTTATAGACGTTGAATGTGAGTCGCCGTATTTTAAGAAGAAACCAAAACTCGAAGATAATGGTACTAAGCCATTATCGATAAAAGAAAAAGTCATGGCTGCCTTGACCTCCCATCAGAACCTCGAGACGTTTCATAACGACGTACAAATAAACTACGCACTGACATCACCAATAAGAGACTCGACAAAAGAAAACAAAGATCCGTTTAAAAGTAAACTGGAAATGTTAAAAAAGTTTCAATATGATAACAAAAATAAGTCAAATACAGTTTTAAAGGAGACAAAACATAATATTTCGTACCGAGTTAGCGATAGTGATGACGATTTTGTATCCCAAGTGCCGTATAAAAAGAAAATATTAACAAAATTAAAAAGAAAGTCCATCAAGACCAAAACGAAAGAGGTAAGCTTGTTAAGGTGTTTTACAAAAAAAAACAATGATACATATATGCACATTAAATTCATTTACTGAGAATAAAGTAATTAAATTTTTACTAACCGATACATGTATACATATAGCGAAATACTTTTTATTATCTGTAGATGACATTATAAAAAAGAGATGTATACATTAATATAGGATATTTTGCCAGAAAAATCAAAATTTCTTTCACCAAAAACTTCCTTAGATACTTTAGAAGAAATATGTATATGGAAACTAGCTTTCCGCCCGTAGCTTGGCCCGCGTGGAGTTCGGTTATATCGCGTTCCCGAGAGAACCTTTCAAAAGTCTGGGATAAAAACTATCCTATGTTCTTTCTCAAGGTCAACTCTATCTCGGTACCAAATTTCATTAAAATCAGTTCAGTGGTTTAGGCGTGAAAGCGTAACTGACAGACAGATCGAGTTACTTTCGCATTTATAATATTAGTAGGGATTAAGATGTTTCAAATTGTCTTCCAGGCGAAAAAACCAAGTGAGTTTTTGGACCTGGAGGCTGAGTTATCAGAAGACGAGGACGTGAGTGAAGACGAACTGACTGACGACAGTACGGACAGCATCAAGAACTTTATATGTGATGATAATGTTACGAAGAACGGAGACATACAGGCGATGTACCTCGAGTCTATCAAGTAAAAAACGATAAACATATGTTATATTTAGTATTATAGTTCCAAAAATACAAATTAGAACCCAATTGATATAGATATAGAGTATATATTTGATTGTAAATGGATATACTAACTTTAAAAAGGTCTGCCTATTGCATGTATGTACATATGTATGTAGAATGGGTTTTGAGTGATTTTATTCCAATCCGTTGTATGCTTCATAATGCACAAGAGTCAATTCCTGATGTCTTATAATACAATGAGACATTAATTAAACTTTTCAGCTTATTTATATTAATATTTCTACTGTATAGAGCCTAATGAAACATAAAATTTTATTGATATTAATTTATAATAATGTTTACAGGAGTCCAGTCAAAGGTGTATTCAAATTACCACAACTGCCGGCCTTGAAGAAACATGAAGTGTTTTCACAATACGTCGAAGAAGACACTTATGAAATGGTTCTTGACTTTAATAATTTATATAAAGCTAAATAATCTTTAGAAAATTGTATTAGCGCCCTTCAATATACAGGGTGACTGGTGAATTACTATCGATACTTGAGGACGTGATATTTGACGATCATATATGACAAAATAAAAATTAATATAACATAAATATTAATAAACTTCTAAGTAAAGTTAACCAAAAGTTATGTAATTACGCATCGTGTGAACACCCTACAGATTAGGTATACACACACACACACGCGCGCGCGCGTGCGGCGGCGTAGTGTTGTATCAGCACGCCGCCGCACGCGTCCACACTTGGAACACTTGGAACGTGTCCACACTTTATTTATTTATACGGAAATTTGGTCAAAAATTAAGTACCTATTTTTTTACATAATTCGAATGAGAATCATGTACCGAGTATGCTCCTTAAATATTGATAGTAATTCACCAGTCACCCTGTATATAATATTCTCAAAGATTCAATAAATATAGTAGTATTTAATTAATATTAAAAACTACAATTTATACAATAGGTCAATATTTGTTACTCTTCCGCGCATAAACTACTGAAAGATATTTAATGAAAATTAACAATAATATGAATCTTAACTCACAATGTAATATATGTTATAATTCATTCATTAATTCCCTGAATATTCCTGAAACGTCACGATGATTGTACTTTATATAAAGCCACGTGACACAGGCCATAGAAAACAGAAATGGCTTACCATATAAAGCAAACATTATCTTTCCCTCTCTGAACACAATTTTAACTTCAAAATATTTTATATACATGACAAATTTATTTCATATATTTACAGGATAGCTTTTGTGTAGACTCGCATGTAGTGTATAACGAAACACATGAAATGTCGGAGTTGGAAATAGCTGAGATGATATTAGAGGAAAGAAGACGAAACAGAAGAAATAAAAATCAAGTTGAAGATACAGAAGGAAGTCCGGTTATAAAGAAGAATTGTAGAAAGAATAAAAGACAAATAAACAGTGATTCAGAAGATAGCAACTGATAAGTGTTGAGACTGCAAAATTTTGTACCTATTTATGTCATAGCTGATAAAATATTTAATTTATAATAAGGCAGACTGAAGTTAATTTTGTACATAAATATAGAAATAATGTTTATTTGTTATGTCAATCATGATATTTGATGTAAATAAAAATATTGTATTTGTACGATCGCATTATTTATTTAGACTTTAGAGGTTCATATACAGAGCAAATAAATTAAATTAGAAATTATAAAATTATTGTCTTAAAACTACTCCAACTTTTATAAATTATAATATTTGTATGGACTTGGTTCAAAAACCTTTTAGAGGTTTACAAGACAAAAACTTACTTTGATTGTTGTAAGGCCTTAAATAACCAAAGTTTTGGATAAAATCTTCAATAAAAAACAAAATGGTGGAAATGGCAAAAGTGAAAGATGTTAGGTTTAAGGTTCTGAAGCCTAGCAAAGGAAAATAACATCACTACAACGTTTAAGGTTAACAATGTAGTTCCATATACTCTACAGTTTTGGTTACTAATACGATATAACGCCTCGATATAATGTAATTAATGCCCATTAATTTTATCTAACGAACTCTACCAGATAAATTTATAATAAACTGCCTCGCTAATACTGTTGTAATCCATAAGTAATTCTTAATAATTATGTTTTTATAACGTTTTCATGTTTCTTTTGAGACCCACCTGACTGTAAGAGTTTCTTCAGCTGCTTAACAAGACTACGTAATTCTGCAGAGTTTTCGCCAATGTGTTACAAATATATGCAACACTTGGATGTGTCGATTTTAGTTCGCATTGATATGACTAACATATAAAATCTTTTTAGTCAAGAGTCGCTTTATTTTTAACTTCCTTAACAAGTATATTTGTATATTAGCTTTCCGCCCGCAGCTTCGCCCGCGTGTAGTTTGGTTATATCGCGTTTCCAAGAGAACCTTTCAAAAGTCTGGGATAAAAAATATCCTATGTTCTTTCTCAAGGTCAACTCCATCTCTATCTACCAAATTTCATTAAAATCAGTTCAGTGGTTTAGGCGTGAAAGCGTAACAGACAGACAGGCAGGCAGAGTTATTTTCGCATTTATAATATTAGTAGGGATGTAGTATCTAAGCAAGAATACTTTTTATAATACACGTCTTTTTTATGAAGAGGTAATATTTTCAGTCAGGAACTCGGGGCGGAACGGGGTACCTAACCTTTGGTTACAATTTATGAGAGTTTGAATGAAACAACACCATTATTTGGCAATTTGAAGGTTTATTTATTTATTTTATTACAAAAAAATTGAAGCTAAACTTACCTAAATTAATAATCACAATGAAAAATTTTTATTTGAAAAATAAAGAGAAATTTCCCATTCTGCCCCACCCCCTGGGGTACAATGGGATACGATTTGGGGCACGATGGGGTATCAACTATTGACACAGTTCACAAATTAGAACACTCATCATCGTCACTATCTATGCCAGCGCATGCCAAATGTGAACATTTTTTACAAATGGAACAGGAACACCAGCCTTCACTTGACTTAGAATATAAATCATTGCAATACAAGCAGATCGCCTCTTCTTCTTCCGAGTCTTCATCTTCAGTTTCAATTCTTATTTGTTTCTTTGACTTAATCTTGAATTCTTTGGTTTCTTTCCCTTTCTTTTTTAACTTTGGTTTTTCTTTAGTTTTCATTCTTTTATTTAAGTTTTCTTTATCTTTTAAAATCAGTCTTTGTTTAATTTTGTCTACTTTTTTTCCTTAATATTTTGTATCTTTTTAATAGATTCCTCTAATTCAATCTTAAAAGGTGAGGTTGTAAGGATTGCGGTTTTTCCGCGCTTCTTTATAACTCTTTTCATTCCAGATTTTATTTTTGGCAACGGAATCAGATCTTTTGGAGACGTAATTGAAAAATTTGTGTTGCTAATGGTACGAGGAGGAGAATCGGGCATCCATGAACATCCGGGTTTAGGATTTAGATAAACGCTCTCTGGTGGTGGAAGATTTTCGTCATTCGTAGGCATCAAATCATTATCTTGGACAGAAAAATTATTATTAATAGGTATCGGGTGAAATTGAGGTGTTCTGGTAGATGGCAGATCTTTAGGTATTACAGTGGATCCAAGATCGCCGCCTGGTGCAGTTGGCGCTTCCTGTGCAGTTTTCTCAGTAGGTTCTCTAAGGGAATGTTACAAAACCTATATTAACCTTATCCGATCGCCCCTATCCGTTCCGGACCGTAAGCAGGGCTAGCCTTATCCGAACCCGATCCAAATTTCCACTCGGGGTATTACCCCATTGTGCCCCGACGCACCGTTCACGTAACGATGTGTTATGGCCGGTTATGTATTTGTTTGATTTGAATCATCACTAGACTTTTAGTTAGTCAAGAGAATATTCAAACCAACATGTATTGTAAATATCTCAAAAAAGAATAATGAATAGTGTAATTACCTTAATATTTCAAAGCGAAAATTAGAATTTGTGGGTTTTTTCGTCGATCTTTGATAAAATCCAAATTTAGCGCACTCTCACACTAACAAAAACCACTCCGTACAGCGCAGCAGACGTTGTGCGCAATGTTCACGCGTCTCTATTACCTCTAATGAGTACCACACTCCTTTCTCATTCCACCCCGGTACCCCGTTCCTTCCCGGGTTCCCCTATATTTAAGCTTGTCCCTGTAAATGCTTTATTTACAAAGGATTGAAATTCATCCATAACAACGACCACTAAGTCCTTATCAACCGACTTCATTTCATTAATATCTCGGCAATGTTGTCGCCTTGTGTTCCCAATATTTACTTCCTACTTAATTTCTGTAAGAAAATCCAAAGAATAGACTTCCATTTCATATGTTTACTAATACAAAAGTATCAGATATAAATTATCGAAAGAATTATACTTAGTATGAAATGTGACACACATAGATGCTTTGAGCATAACATAAACAGAAAGAAAGAACAGAAAACAGAAGAAAGAACAGAAAATGTCAAATAAGACAGAAAGAAAACCTTGTACCAAGAACTAGACTTGGAAAATGAAGATTATACGAGATTAAATGAAAGTCATATACCTACTAGAATGGCTCTGAAAACAAAAATAGGCCCCAACATTAAGGATATTAAAAGAGCCCAACTGATAACTCTTGGGTTCTCCCAAAGACCAAACCTTGACAACCAGATAACACTGAAAATTCCACAACATTAAGTAGACCATTCTAAATCCAAACACATGGACATGAACATTTAATCAGAGATTTTGTAAGAGAGGCATAATAAACTCCAAAATAGAAGTACTAAAAAAATAGTGCGTTGGGTCACTTCCAGCGGAAGAGGTGAAACTTCGTAATTGTAAACTATTTGTAAATAAATTACTTCCCTATTAAATTATATGTGTATCAAATCAAACATAAAAAATTATGAATATTATAAATAAATAAATATAGAGCAACAAGTTCGTTTTTCTACTTTCGAGACGCTCACATCGTTTACTGCGCTGCATAGCACGAGTACTATGCGCATGTCCTTAGAAGCTACTGAGTCACACTCTTTACCTCTCCTACTTTTTACATATGTTTATCTTTCTTTCTTTTTTACTTTCTACATCTGTGTATTTTTTTTTGCCTCTACCTTGTGAGGAGCCGCGTAAAAAGTTTCACTCAATAAGGAAATAAATATACTTTCGAAGTATCTGCCTGATCAAAGAAATTGAAAAGCCTCGCCAGCATTAACCCTGTTGAAACAACAATTCCCGCGCGACCAATATATAAACCTACATAATATATGTTTTCATTATCTTGACAACTGCCAATGTTGTCTGTAACTCCGACTGGAAGTTAGGTAATATTTTTTGTCATTTTAAAATTAAATTTAAGAGTTATACGTGTTAAGATGTTGTACTACATGACATCTGATACTTCGTGTACATGAATATATTTTAGATAGTAGGTAGTCACTATTAATTAATATAGATTGTAAACCACATTATTTTAGGTTAAGTGGAAAATTATTTTATCGTCCGCTGTCCCTTAAGATATCTCAAGTAAATTTATTGAAAATGCAAACGAACCATTTTATTTTATTTTTCAAAATTTATTTTGCTCAAGAAAATAAATAACGATGAACACAAATTCTCGCAAAAGTTTGTATAAAATTAATAGACGATTAATAAACAATATGTACCAATTTTTAAGATTAGTTTAATATATTTTATTATTTTACTATCTGTATTCTTTTAACCAGCTAAGTAATTGACCTTTCCCTTTACATCTACAAAATGATTACAACATAACAAACACTCAACCACGCCCTTGAATTACGGCTCAGCGGATTCTTGTATAATGAGGTCACACTGTGGTCACGTGACGGGTAGTGGGCTCGATATTTATAGAACTCTTAAAACATGGGAAAAAATCGACAGTGTAGTTTTGACCCAAACGAAAACCAGTTTCCTCTTACTCATTTAAACTGTGACGATTTAGGGATATATGAATGATTAGTAGCATTTCTGGATGTTTTTACCACTTAAACGATAACTTATTTAAAATTAATTGCGCCTAAATATCAACAGTGGAGACCTTGAACGTTGAATATTATTAACATGATATTAGAGCTTGTAAACTACATGATAACATTTACGAAAATACTCAAAGCGGTAGTTTAGAACGGAATTCCAGGGACATGATAAGGATAATAAATATAATTTGTATATAGTTTAATGTTTCAAATTAACCATTACCATGTCGGTGGAAGAAACAATAAGTAAAAAATTCTCAAAATGTGATATGAATGGACATAATTGGGTTACTGAAGAGGAATTTCGTGTTGTTTTTCCTAGAGGTTATCGTGATTGTAATTTTTTTTCACGGCCATATGAATATTGGTCCATGACTGAAGGTAAATATACTTTAGCAACCAAAGACAATTTTACTTCTATACATGTGTATAAGTATATGCTTTTTCTTATTGAAGTTACTATATTTTACTAAACGACAGATTAATAAATATTCTTTAGGTAAATAAAACATGTCAATAAATAGGTTCATACTTACTTTTCGGATATGTTTTCATAAAAATTGCTTAGTTACAATAGGAAATTCGAGTAATAATACGCCTGACTGATAAATTATGTGTTGATAAAAACATCCGAGTTAAAATATATATTTTGGCAGATAACACGATAATTCAACAATTTTAATAAGGGTGGAATATTTAAATTATTTTCTTTAAACATTATATTTTAGACTTGAAAATTTTGAAATAAATGTAACCGATTGCTATTTTATATAATGAATCATTTATTTATTTACGTCATACGTTTTATGTAATAATGAATCCCTTTTTCGTGAACTATTTATAGTATTACAAATTAATAAACTTAATGATCACATGAAGTTTGGAAATATTTAGTATTGTAGGTACGTTTTTAACTGTATAAATAGCTGTTCAAGAATTGTGTGTGTAGCCTGATTTATATACTGTTTATGTAAATAAGGCAAAAATGTCAGAATTATATGTATGTATTTCAATAACCCTTTCATTGCGTGAATACGTGTAACGTTCTAACTTTTTTTTTGTAGATGACTTTAAAAGAAAGAAGAGCGATGAACCACTTATACATTTATCTTCATTGTTGGAAGGGCAGAGTGTATTACATAAAAGTATTTTAGTTGGCCATTCAACAGACACGGAACTGCTCACAGAGCTGCTGCAAGACAAAAAAGACATCCCCACAAGAATGACTACACATGACGGTCAACAGCCTGCGAAAAGAATTAAATTAGATTCTTATTATTTTAATAACCCTGATATACAAAAAAATGGGTTAAAACATTGCTTTATTTGCAGTAACATTTGTAACTGTAGTTTATTAAGATCATTGAAACCTAAAGTATCGAACGAAGTATTGCCATTATTTTCTAAAGAGCTTCCAGAATTGCCTGACATTCAATTAATTGACAATTTGAATAATATTTCGATAGAATTGCTAACAGTAGGTGTATACACACCGGAATTGGCATACGAAGAAAATAATATATCAGATAGTGACACCCAAATATTGACAGATGATGAATCTACATTAACAGCCGAACACAATGAAGAAACAAACTATATAGATGAGGAAAATTTGGTTTATGAAAGTAGTCAAGTAATTATATATGGAATTACAGATACTCTTCAAAAAGTTGAAGACGATTCAACTATTATAGAAAATGATATCTGTGAAGATCTTAAAAATTATTTCCATATAAACAATGTCTTCGATATATTTAATGAATCCATGAGTGAATGACATCGAAACATCGTTTTCTAAACATTTTCAAAACCAAAGAAATTAAATGAACAAAAATCTATTTTATATGCTGCTGACTGGTATGTAAAGCTTATGGTAGGCATACGTAAATGTTTATATTTTTATAATCATTTTAAATCCACAGTAGCATACATACTTTACCATACCAATTTTACATTCATATTTTTTTATATCAAAAATATTGTTATAAAAATATACCTACCTCGTTATTTAAAAAACAAAAATATATTGGACTGAAATGTGTATATATTATAAATTAAAATGTAACATTATTGTATAATGTATTATGTAATGATATATTTTGATATATTAAAAGATGTACTTAGTAATAATGAAAAGCTAAGCTGAAAATATTACAGCTTGTGTATATAATGTAATGGAAATAATAAATTAAACAGCATTTCAATTGTTTATTTGCAGTCATTTCAGTAAAACTTTAACCTAAGACTATTGTTGTATCTAGACCACAAACTCACGTGATAATTATAAACTCATTTTATTATAAAATCCAAAGTTTATTTCAATAACTCTTTAATTAATTAACTAATTTATTTGATGTTCTGGTTCAACTTGTTTTATTTGTCCTTCTTTATTCAGTCGTCCCTTGTGAATGTCTTCTAATTCCGCTTGTAATTCGGCATAGCGTTTCTGGAGTTGTTTTTCTCTCTCCGTTTGTCTATTCACATCTTCAGTTAGAGACTGAAAAGTTTCATCAATTTTAGTTTAGCATAGTCTTAAAATAGTCATTAATACTTTAATATTTAATTATATCATACCTCAACTCGTCTAGGTATAGCTGCCTTTTCTTGCTCCGCTAGAAATTTGAATGTTGATAATTCTAAATTAGATTGCTCTATTTGATCTTGCAATTCCTGAAACTGCTTTATTAGTGAAGCTGTCCGACTTTGGTAGCCACCTGAAATTATTATGTCATATTAATATAAAATACACATTTTACACGAGAAAGAGCGTGATTTAAACATGTTTGAGGATAATTTGTATGTTACGTAAATCTTTGTAAAGGTCACATTTGCTTGATACAAAAGAAGTAATTGGGCAAGGTGACTATGTAAGAAAAATATAATCGTAGTCTTCACTTTCTTGCCTTATATTATAAATTAAAACATGATGTAAAGCCTACTAATATTATTATTGCGAAAGTTTGTGTGTGTGTGTATGTCTGTTACTTCTTCACGCTCAAACGGCTGAAAAAACGGCTGATTTTGATAAAATTTTGACGTCCAGGAATAACACATAGGCTACTTTATACCGGAAAACCGCGGGTAACACCGCTGGGCGCATCTAGTATTATATATATCTGTACCTGTCAGCACTCTTAATTTTTTCTCCATCTTAGAGCATTTCTTAGCTTCCTTCGCCATATGGTTTCTGTTTTGTTCCAATCTTTTCTCAGCCGATTCTAATCGATCCTTCTTGCTCGCTAAGTTAGCGCGAGTGTATCTGTTTTGACCGGGAAGAAACAGCACCTACGAACATAATTATTATTAGATTCTAGACAAAAAAAATGATGATAATTTGACATTACAAAACACATAACTGTTTTTTATAAACATTTTAATGCTATTTTACTAAAAAATTGCACACAGTATTTGTGATTATTGGTTAATTATAACACATATTATGAATTAAACTGGAAAAATTTAGTGTGGTGGAAATTACGAGGAAGATGTGAAAGATTCAAAATAATATAGCTTTCATGATCAACAATTGCTTATAACTTGTAAGGGTTTAGTTATCTTTATATATATAATTCTTCTGTGAGTGTGTATGTCACTGAACTTCTCTCAAACGACTGGACCGATTTTGATGAAATTTTTGTGTGCGTTCAAGGGTATCTGGGAATGGTTTAGATTCACAATTTTGTCCGCTGGACAATAGTTTTTTAACAAATTTTTAATTTATTAGTAGTTGTTGATACAAACGTTTTTTTTTTTGACATTAGATTTGACAACTAACTAATATGTCAATCATTCTGTCGCACTTCAAAACACGGAGATTTATGGCTTTAATGGGTAAACTCCAAAAATATAAATAAAAAAACGTAACAGATATTCCTTGATTATAGGGCGATACGAAGTTCGCCGGGTTTTCTAGTATTATATATATAAAAACCAGATTATTATACTATATACCTGTGCGAGACATTCCTCCCATACTGTAGTGTAAGCCTCTAGCCCCAAGTCTCCGTGGCCCATACCAGCCTTCACAATTTCCATTTCCTTGTTCAATTCTTGTTCTGCTGCATCTAACTCCTCGCGTGTAAACTGTTCGTAAGGATGTTGTTCTAGATACGCCAAGTGTGAAGCTTGTAATTGTACCGCGCGCTTCTTGTCCACACCTGAAGATTGGTTAAAAAATTGGATATAAATAAAATAAAAACTATCTAATAACCTAATGCATATATGTTTGTGGATAGCATAATATATAACACTAAATGATTATAATATCTAGTCTGTTCCAAAGAGCTTCAATGTCACATGATTGATATATTGAGAACATTAAATAATAAACTTCCTCTAGGTAAGATTAGAGAAACAATCGACTAACCACCGAGGATACCAAAGACCGTGCAGAATGAAGGCGTTTATGTAGAAAGGCAGACCCTGGCTAAAGAGTGGAAATTGCCAGGAAGAAGAAGACTATAAAGAAACATAAATGTATCCGTATTACCTGGAGGCGGGTCGTGTAATGCGTCATAATGCAGCATGGATAACATTTCTGCCTTAAGTAGTTCCTCGGCCCGCTGTAGCGAAGTGAGGGCGCCACCTGTCCTACCCGCACCTCCAACTACCTCCACGGGACGGGCGCACCCGCGTCTTATAGCGCTGGATCGAAGCGCTAGGGCTGCTAGACCTGTGTATTAAATTTATTATTAAAATCATCCACATCTATACTAAGAACTTGCTAGGTTTAGAGATCTTTATTTTCCAAAAAAGTCACATGGAAACAAAAAAATCAAGTAATATAAAATGTCGTTCCTAATATATAATTACATATCGAGTTGTTTTACTCATTCAATGTATTCAATTTACAAGTGGGTAATTTATTGTATTCAAATATAGGGTATTCAATTTACTTGCTAATAATTGTTTTCAAAAACCTTTTGAATATGTCATTATTTTGTGAAGAGTGACAATGTTTTCACTCATTCATTGGGTCATCGTTTAAATAATTCTTATCGAATTGAAGTAGTAGTACCTTGAGTAGGTACTATCAAACGTTTTACAGTGTCATATATACATTAAACAAAATGCAAATACTATATGTATTGATGAGATGTAAATTTCTTAATATAATTTTTAATGAATTATAACTAGTTTCCATATTATAGGGAATAGACACAAAATTTTAAATGGCCTAATATATTTTTTTCTCTAGTACTTACTATCGTCATATTATAATGAAAAAAAAAATTATTTACTTCTTATTTAAACCCCTAAAATAATAATCAAAAAGTGCAAAATAAGGGATCGAAATTCAAACTTCCGAAACGCGCCACCATTGGTCGAACGAAATATGACGTCATCTGATACAACATTGCATTCAACAGCGTCGAAACTCATACTGTTTTAACACTTTCGCGGACACAACGTATGATAACGTTCAAAAACAGAATATTATATACGGCAGAGGCGTTGATATACGATCAATTTTAATACAAAAATTCGTTATATGGTAGCTTGAGTCATAACATATCGAAAGATCAAAACTTCACTATTACGTGAACTTAGTCTCTAACCGTTTCCAAAATGTGCGTTTGACTATACGTCGCCATACTACACACCGGCGCACACCGTGTATATACGCCCTCAGCGCCTTACCGCGTCTATACATTCAAACGTGTCATATTGTCTTATAAACATCTGATAACATAGAACACAACGTCATTAAACGCCAAATATATTTGTATGGTAATTTATTGTGTCATTCTAGAATATAATTTAAACTGAGACTGTCAGTCAACGTTTTAAGAAGTACAGTAATACCCCGCTTAACGCGATCCCGTTGTGCGCGGTTTCACTATAACGCGATTTTCAAAAATTTATTCAGGTTGGGACATTGCAGAGTAGACAATAATGATGACCGTGTCTTGAACGTGCGTCAAACTATTAAAAACAGTGTTTGGTGTTATGAACTTATTTTACAAGAACGTAAACAAAACGCTACCCAAAAGACATACATGTATTTTTTCGTAAAAAATAGGAGTACCTATGTATTGTATAGTGTTCTTAGAATTAAAGTGATTGATTAAAATGATTTTTATATTTGTGAATTAAATTTTGACTGTGTTTAATCATAAACCTCGATATACGCGAATTTCAGTTAACGCGATTTTCTTCGGAACGTATCCCTCGCGCAAAGCGGGGTATTACTGTACGTATATATGTATATCATACGTTTCTCCTCCTGTTCCTTAAGGATCCTATCGTCTACATCAGCCTGGTCGTCCACGAGGTCGTCTCCCGTGTCCGTGTCGTTGTCGTCTCGCGCCTCGGGGACCACGATCTCGTAGTCGTTACGTGGAGTGGGGAGGGATTGTAACGCGTTACGAACAGACGCCTTCAGCTGCAAATTGAAACAATTATATACATTACTGTATAATCTTATTCTTTGTATGTAATTTAGTACCTTAAGTTATTAATAGATGGCAGCAGTAACCAAAATAGAACACGCAAGTAAAATTCTTAAAGCAATACATAATATAAGCTAAGTTAATAAAATATAATCAAGATCTGGACCAACAGTGTGTTTCATTTGCTAAAACGTGTGAAGTGTCTTGTAAATAGTGTCTTTTGTGTGCGAAGTGTCTTGTAAATAGATATTGATGGAAGTAAAACTGACACCTTCGCTAGAAAAATCGTTACATATATTCTGTAATATAATAATATAATAAGTGATATTATTTATACTAAATTTTTTGATTGGAAATTATACTTAAGTGAAATAGCGAATTAATA